ACAAGTGCAAAATAACTGACGAGGAAGAGCTGGGTTTACCTAACCATCAGCTAATTTCTATGCTGTATAGTTCTGCATACATTTATCAGAAGGGGGGCAGTGAATAATTAAATTACTACAAAAATATAAAAATGTGTGACCTTGCTTTATAGAGTGGATTAGTTTTTCCTTTAAATCTATCCCTTCTCCCCCACACTGTCCCTCCAAATATTAGGCAATATGATCATTTTGCTTTATTTTTTAAAGTATATTTTATTGATTATGCTATTACAGTTGTCCCATTTTTTTCTCCCTTTTATGCCCCTCCACCCTGCACTCTCCCCCCCGCGACCCCGAGTTCATGTCCATGGGTTGTACATGTACGTTCTTCGGCTTCTTCATTTCCTGCAGTATCCTTACCCTCTCCCTGTTCATTTTGTGCCTACCAATTATGCTTCTTAATCCCTGTACATTTCTCCCCCCACCAATGATAACCCTTACGTGATCTCCATTTCTGTGATTCTGTTCCTGTTCTAGTTTGCTTAGTTTTTTGTTGTTGTTGTTTTTTAGGTTCAGTTGTTGATAGTTGTGTTTGTTGTCATTTTGCTGTTTATAGCTTTGATCTTTTTCTAAGATAAGCCCCTTTAACATTTCATATAATAAAGGCTTGGTGATGATGAACTCCTTTAACTTTATTTTATTTGGGAAGCACTTTATCTGCCCTTCCATTCTAAATGATAGCTTTGCTAGATAGAGAAATCTTGGATGTATGTCCTTACCTTTCATGACTTTGAAAACTTCTTGTCAGCCCCTTCTTGCCTGCAAGGTTTCTTTTGAGAAATCATTTGATAGTCTTATGGGAACTCCTTTGTTGGTAACTATCTCCTTTTCTCTTGCTGCTTTTAAGATTCTCTCCTTATCTTTAATCTTGGGTAATGTAATTATGATGTATCTTGGTGTGTTCCTCCTTGGGTCCAACTTCTTTGGGACTCTGAGCTTCCTGGACTTTCTTGAAGTCTATTTTCTTGGCCAGATTGGGAAGTTCTCCTTCATTATTTTTTCAATTAAGTTTTTAATTTCTTGCTCTTCCTCTTCTCCTTCTGGCACCGCTATGATTTAGATGTTGGAACATTTAAAGTTGTCCCAGAGGTTCCTAATCTTCTCATTTTTAAAAATTCTTTCTTCATTCTTTTCTGGTTGAATATTTATTTCTTCCTTGTGTTCCAAATTGTTGATATGAGTCCCAGTTTCCTTTCCTTCACTGTTGGTTCCCTGTATATTTTTCTTTATTTCACTTTGCATAGCCTTTATTTTTTCCTTCATTTTGCGACCATACTCAACCATTTCTGTGAGCATCCTGATTACCAGTGTTTTGAACTCTGCATCTGATAGGTTGGATATCCCCTTGTCGCTTAGTTCTTTGTTTTGATATGTTCTTTCACTTGGGTCATATTTCTTTGTCTTAGCACATCTGTTATGTTGTAAGGGGCAGAGCCTTAGTATTTGCCAAGGCGGGGCAACCCACCTTGTCCCCAGGAGGGGGTGCTCAAGTGGCAACCACACATTGATGTTTTCCTCTCTCTCTCCCTCCCTCCCTTCCTCTATAAAAATAAAATCTTTGAAAAAAGAAAGAAAATGTGCTTTATAATCAAGAGAAAACACAGTCAATAGAAAAGTCCCACAAAACATCTAAGTTACTGAAATATATTATAAACATATATTTATAATTTATCTATAAAATTTATGTTTATAATTTATATTATACTTGTATAATTTATACTACTATAAATACATAAAATAATGGGAAAAGAACAGTAATTGGAACAGAGAAGGGTGTCAATCTAAAAATAAAAGGACAAAGTGAGAGGTGACAAGCATTTATTTGGGATCCAAAAGAAGAGCTATTTGGGAAATGCTGATTCAGGCAGAAACCCAAACAGTGTTCATTAGAAGGTGAAGGCAAGAGGTATTTATGAGAAAGGGAAGGGGAACAATGTCAATAGAAGAAAGGCATTTCTATGTTAATAAGCTAAGGAAAGAATTTCTATAGGTGCAGATAAGCTAATAGAGTGATGCTAATTCTTTTCTTTTTAAAGATTTTATTTTTAGAGAGAGGGGAAGGGAGGGAGAGAAACATCAATGTGAGAGAGAAACATCAATTGGTTGCCTCTCACACATCCCCAGCTGTGGACTTGGCCCACATCCCAGGCATGTGCACTGACAGGGAATTGAGCCAGCAACCTTTTGGTTTGTACACAGGTGCTCAATCCATTGAACCACACCAGCCAGGGCAAGTGATGCTGATTCCAATGAAAGTCTTTTATTTTCAGTCTCGCAGTTGTAATGTTTGCTTTCCTGTTATCTTTGCAAACAGTTGTTTGGAATACAATGCTGCTTTAGGTCCTGTCCAAAGGTTATTTTACCCAGTTTTAACATTCCAAAGGACTGAGGAGTAAGACCTGAAAGACAGTCCCTTTGGGATGGCATTCTCTTTTGAAGTGACTCCATTTATATTATTTTTTATAAGGGGTATAATAAATTGAATAGTGTGCTTCAAAATTTCATGTCCATCCAGAACCCCAGAACGTGACCACGTTTGAAAACAGGGCCTTTACAGATGTAACTAGTTAGGTTAAAATGAGTTCAAACTAGTTAGGGTGGTGAATGGCTCAGTTTTTGGTCGAGCATGTCAAGGATTTTCCAAGGAGCTGAGAACTGACTTCCAGGCATCTTGTGTTTACCCAGCATTGTGTCTTTATCAGGAATCTGGCCCCTCCTCGCTCGCCCCTCGCCACTGCTCGGTCACAGACTGGCCCCGACGCTCGCAGCAGTGCTCTCCCTTAGAACACCTGCTTTCGTCTCCCTGCCTCCACTCTGAGGCTCTCCCTGTGGGGCAGGAGAGTAAGAAGCTAAGGAAGTTTCTTTGCAAGTGGAATAAGGAAACTGAGATAGACAGCTGAACAAACCAGTCAAGCAATTTAGAGACAGATGCAGGTCATCAGGGCAGAACGCCCCGGGTGCCTAGCCGTGGGCAGGCCTGGCGAGGGACTGCGCTCCCAGGGTGGCCTTTCCTCCCCTGGCATATTGCTGGTCATATGGTTTGGACCCCCCCGAGCTTTCCTCCCCAGAGATAACCTCTAGGCCTCAGTTGCGTTTCAGCTTCAGGCCCAGAAAAGCAGCAAAACCAAGTGGGCGATGCCAGGGCCAGCTGCAGTGAATGAAGACGCCTGCCCTGGCGCCAAGCAGCCAGTGGAGACCACCACTCTGAAAGGACACACCTGGAAAAGCTGATGAACGTTCTATTGAGATCCTTCCCTGAGACCTCCTCTAAAATCCCAGCCTTTAAAACCTTCACGACAAGGACCCAACACGAGACCACGCCTGAGCCTTTCCCCCTTTCTTCCCCAACAGGCGTGCATCTCTGAAACTCTAAGGGACCCTGGGAGACTTGCAACCAGGGGAACAATGGGCAGGGACAGCCTGTTCTGCGCTTATCCCCTGAACCTGCCTCCAGGGCCCCTTTTCTCTGACTTCAGTGAGCCGCCAGCAGCGCCACCCAGCTCCCTCCTTTCCTATATAACGTTTCTAGAGAGCCAGGTAGCCCCGCCTAAGCTCTTTCCTGTTGCTTCTTCTCTCCTAGGCCCGCCCTTGTTTCACTGTCCCCAGCTTTAATAAACATATTCTTAAAATCACCTGGACTCATGCTGCGAAATCTTTCCTACACAAAGTCAAGAACCCACACATTACCAGCTGCCCTAGGCAGACCTGCTCAGGGGACAGGTCTTCTTTCCAGTAAAATTGTGCCTACAGGTGTGGCCACACCTGCTGGTGCTGCCCCTCAAGAGTCACTGTAGCTGCTCCTTGGGGAAGCTAGGATGTCACCAGGGCCTCTAGAGGAGGAAGAAGCCCGCCTCTGGTGGCCCCTGCTGTGGAAATCAGCAGCTCGTACCAACTGGGCACTGCACAGATGTGGGCTCTCGTCCTGCAACAACGCTGTTGTTGCAGGGCTTCCCGAGCTTACAGGAGGGAGGTTAATTCCCCAGTCACAGAGCTGAGAAGCAGCGGTAACAGGAGAGGAACCCAGCTCCGACAGCTTCAGAACCCAGGGCTCCCCAGCGCGCCAGTTTGCCTGCTTCCCTCGCTTGCGGGCGACGGAAGTCGGCACCCTACTTGACGCTTCCTAGCGACAGTAGCTTCCCTGCAGGTGAGAAGCCCGAAGACCACCCCCCTTCGCCACAATAGGGAGCTGAAGCCCAGTGCAGCCCACGGAGGCAGACGGCCGGCAGGCCAAGGCACAGAATCCGGGGAGCAAAGCGAGATCCCAGTCCCCCTCCCCCGGCGCCTGCGCCCTACGGCCCCGTCCCCCGCTCAGCCCCGCCCCCACCGCTCGGGTTTTCAAATTTGAAACCTGCTCCTTTTCCCGCCGGAATGCGTAGACCAGCAGCGAAAGAGGGCGGGGCCGCGTGCAGCCACTAGTGCCTCAGCGGCTCCCCCGCCCCGCCCCGAAAGTGACGACAGCGAGCCGCACGAGACGACCCGCGAATGGGCGTCGGCGCTCCTCCGCCCTGCCCCCACGGCGCCCACGTGCAGCTGCGGGTCCTGGGGCCTCCGGAGACTACAGGCCCCCGGAGCTCGGCCCTCTGTGCGGCGCCCTCGCTGTCAGCCCGGGCTGGGAACTGAGGCCCAGAGGCGCCTAGCAGCCAGCGCGGGGTCGCTGACCGAAGCGAGCAGGTCACATCAACCCCCAGCCGGGGGCTAGCCCAAGGGCCGGACCTAGGGCTGGCGCAGGTACAGATGCCTCAGGGGTTCGAGGGGGCGGGGGCTTGGGGGGCTGGGCTGCGGTCCGGGGCGGGTTCCAGAGGGGCGGGGCCAAGAGCCGGGCCATCCCGCGGGCGGGGCGTTCAGGGGGCGGGGCCGGGCGCCTGTGTTTGTGGCACCGTGTCAGTTACATTGTAACAAAAGTGGTGCCTCTGCTCCTCAGGCCCGCACCTCCCGCTCGCCCGCCGCCAGCTGTCGCCGACATGGAGCCCGTGGCCAGCAACATCCAGGTCCTGCTTCAGGCGGCCGAGTTCCTGGAACGGCGCGAGAGAGGTGAGGCAGAACCCTTGGCCGGACTCCAGGCGGCGACCTGGCTGACACCGGCCTGGGTTGGACTTGGCTCCCAATTCGCAGGATGCATACTGCTTTAAAGACAGTAGCCCCGGGGCACCCCCGTCTTAGGCTGGAGAGAGGTCCGCGGTCGGGTTGGGGGGTGTTGGGAAAACGGCCCTGGCGCCAAAAGCCCCTCCCTGACCGTGCCGTGCCAGGGGCGCCCTCTGGGACGAGCTCCATCCTGACGCGGACGGGGGCTCTCTCCGGCAGAGGCTGAGCACGGATACGCGTCCCTGTGCCCGCACAGAAGTCCGGGCCCCGTCCACAGGAAGAGGAAGCGATCCCCCCAAGCTCCTGGCACGCTGGACAGTGGGCGGTGAGGAGGGCCAGGGGCAACGGGGAGCCGGGGGGTGGGTGCTGTCCCTTTTCTGGCCCCCCCTCAGCCCCACTTCCTCCTTGTTTGCTTGCATCTTTTCTGGGCCAGGTACTCTACGCTGGAGACAGACCCCTCTTGCGGTCTGCGCATCCCCCATAACACTCTATTCATTCAAGCACTATTTCTTGAGCACCCCTGAGGGTGTCAGTTCTGCCTCCCGCTTCTACTCACGCTCCTGTGCTCCACGTATCACACCACGCACTTTCCTTTTCTCTCCTCCTCTCCACTCTGTACACATTATGTTCCCTCAGGTGGAGTGTCTGTCCCTCCACTACCCACTTTGGGTAACTTGTATTTCTGGCTCAGCTCAGCTGTCACCTCTGTTTAGGAAGCCCTTCCTGACCGCTGCTAGGGAGCTTTGTTTGCCCTCTACAGCTACCTGGGCAGGCCTCTCAGCATTTGCCCCTTCCCCCCAACCCCCAACCCCCAACCCCCAACCCCCAAACCCCATGAGTCTCTGCCTCCACCTGGCAATTCAGGTGCCTGAGGCACAAAGTCATAGTCATACTGAGCTAGTTTGGGACAAAGATCTGTAGTGGATTTTGGGCCCCTGGGAGCCTGGGACTGAGGGGGTGGGCAGCAACCAATGCCCCCTCACCCCATCCTCCATGGTGTTTGCAGGTCTGTGCACAACGAGCTGGAGAAGCGCAGGTGAGTCCCGGCCGTGCCCTGGTAGCGCTGGGTCCAGGAACTGCCTCGCTCTGGCCTTTCCTCCCCTGTCAGCCCGTTGGCCAGCAAGGCTGGGCTGGCACTGCCCTCCAGACCCCTTCCCCTGCAGGAGGGCCCAACTGAAGCGGTGCCTGGAGCAGCTGAAGCAGCAGATGCCCCTGGGGGCGGACTGTGCCCGATACACCACACTGAGCCTTCTGCGCAGGGCCAGGATGCACATCCAGGTAAGGGGCTACCCCTGCACCCTGGAGCCAGCTTGCCAGGCATGTGGAGAGGCGTAGGAGGGAGTTGCTGGGTGAAACTGGGGAGAGAGGCCCACTGTGCTTTTAGTTTCCAAATTTGTTTAAAGAGAAGAAAAGCAAAAAATAACTCAGGATTGTTCCAATACTTAAGCTTCAGCATTTGCCCAATAAATTTTCACCATTGTTGTTACAGCTAATATTACTTCTACTCCAGCTGTGAGGCCCTGAGCCAGGCAGTTAGCCTCCCTGGACTTCCTCCTCTGTATGGGGGGCATGCCTGTCGAAGATAATGTGATGGATAATGTGTAAGGGCCCCTAAGGCTGTAGAGGGCTGGTCCTCGCTCTTCCTCTCTCCCATCCTCAAGTCCTCCTGTTCTGAGCAGTCTGTCTTGAAGCCGCTTGGGGAGGCAGCCCCAGAGGCCAGGACCGGGAAAGGACTTGAGAGGATGGCGGGCATCTTAGTCTCAGGACCCGGGCTGCTGCCCCCTTGTGGACATACATGGGATGTGCTGACTCAAAGCCCCAGGCATCCGCAGAGAGACCTTTCCTGCCCTCTTGGTTCTTCTGACAGAGAAGAAACCGAGGCAGAGCCCCGCTGATGAGAGGCAGATTCAGGACCCAGGCCCAGGTGCCCTGACTTGCATTCTTTCCTTCAACAAGTATTGGGTTGGCCAAAAAGTTCGTTGTTTGTTTAGTTTTTTCCGTAAAATAAAAGACACACTTTTCATCTTCACCAATAACCTTATTGATTTGGATCTTTTGAGTATGCCAGCTATCTCCCGTGTCATATAACATTGATTGTTCTCAGTTAGTGTCTCGATTTGATCACTATCAACTTCAACTGGTGTGTCTGACTGTGGAGCATCCTCTGGCGAGAAATCAGCATGAAACTTCACAAACCACTTTTGACACTTTCAATCAGTCACAGCACCTTCCCCATACACTGCACAATTATTTTTTTTTTTTTGCATTTCAGTTACTTTTTTTTACCTCCTTTGAGATAGTAAAGCATAATATGCCAAAAATGTGGTGTATTTTTCTTTCATCTTCAATATTAAAGTGGCTACACAAAAGTTCACCAATTTTGATAAGCTTTTTTAAACGCACACTGATGTGACAACTGTCACAATGCAATCTAACAAAATTGTCTCAAATGGAGTCAAAGACAACTAAGTGCTACAGAGCCATCATACAGAAAAACCCAAACAAGTCTTTTGCCAACCCAATATTTATTGAGCACCTGCTCTGCTGGCCATTCTAGGCACAGGGACAGTGTCAGAGACAGATGGATGTGCCACATGGCAAATAAATCAGTGTGGGAGCTGTCTGCACTGTCCCGCAGGTGCCTGCAGTCCCCTCCGGCGGCCGAATAGCACCCTAGTTGAATAGCAGGCCCCAGTTCCTCATGTGGAGCCTACCTAGCCTGGCTCTTAAAGGGACAGTGTGCCCCTCAAGGGCTGACTGGACAGTGGGCAGGCCCCGGGAATGGCGTCTTCTTGAAAGCCCCGTCGGCCCTTTCCTGGACCCCCTGCTTCCTGCTTTGCCCCCGCCTGGCCTCAGGGCGTTCTTTATAGCACGTAGATTTGTTTAGGTCCGTCTCCTGCTGAAAACCTCCCATGGCTCCTGACAGAACAGTCTCAGTCCTTACTTCCTGTGAACTCAAGGTCCTTCACATCTCAGGCCTTGCCACTGGCCTGCGTTTTCAGTCTCATCTCTTCCCCCCGCCCCACTGAAAAGCTGAATTCTCGGCGCTCTGATCGGTCTCCCTCTGCTTGGGTGCTTCTCCTCCATCTTCGCCGAGGCAGCTGGCACTCATCCCTCTACACCCGGTCCCAGCGTCCCTCCCCGCGCTTCCCTTCGGGTGGCCCGCAGCCTCCTGCCCACCCAGGGCTCTGACGGAGAGCCCTTGGCCTTCCAGTCCCTGGGGTGCGGGGCTGGCAGAGCTTTGGTGGGAGTGGGGGGAGCAGGTTAATGCTGAAGAAGCCTTGGGGTCCTGGGTGTATCTTGACCAGGAGTTACAAACTGGTAGCCTTTGTTTAGTCTGTAGTTTTCTAAAATTTAAGTTAGTTGGCAGCAATTAAGAGGCCTCTTAACATGAAAAATCTGACTTTCCAGGCCTCCTAAAGACACTGAGAGATCTGGCCACACTGGGCCTCTTTCCACTTGGCACCGGTCAGCTGGAGCCCACACTCGCGGGCATGCCGCCCCTCCCCCTCCCTGTTGCTTGATACCACACTGGGCACTCCTTCCCGTCACCCACCCAACTAAACCCTGAAGGTCTTTGCGATTGTGCTGCCCTCCCTCACCACCCAGCTAGACAGGACTCAGGCCATTCACACAGGACAGGAGGACCTGAATTTCTGGAGGATGTGGTGGAAACCCTTTGGAGCCCGGATTTAGCGAGCAGGCAGGAGGTCACCAAGTGACCATGGCCTGCTGCAGAGCTGTGATGGGGTGGTGTCCCCAGGCCCCCGGCGGCTGACCCCACCCTTTGCTCCCTCGGGCCCTGCAGAAGCTGGAGGAGCAGGAGCAGCGGGCCCGGCGGCTCAAGGAGAAGCTGCGCAGCGAGCAGCAGAGCCTGCAGCAGCAGCTGGCGCGGCTCCGGGGGCCGGCAGGGGCGGGCGAGCGGGAGCGGCTGCGGGCAGACAGCCTGGACTCCTCGGGCCTCTCCTCCGAGCGCTCCGACTCAGACCAAGGTGAGTGCCCCGAAGTGGAGGAGGGCTGGGGTGCGCCGGCGGGCCAGGTCTCCTGACTGGACCTGTCCCTGTGCAGAGGAGCTGGAGGTGGACGTGGAGAGCCTGGTGTTTGGGGGTGAGGCCGAGCTGCTTCGGGGCTTCAATGCGGGCCAGGAGCACAGCTACTCACACAGCGGCGCCTGGCTATGACCCTCGCCGCCCCAGAGCACGCCTCTTCCCTCAGACCACCCTCCACTCTGCTCTGACGGGCAGGAGCCCTTCCCAAGCCTCAAGGGCTGTCCAGAGGCACCTCCTGTTGGAATGAACTAAAAGGACGTTGGCATGGGAACGGGTGCTCCCCCTGCCTGGCTGCGGGCTGCGCAGCCCCCTCCTAGGGGAGGGGACTGGCCTCCCAGAGGCCCGCAGTGCAGGTGGTTTGGGCCTGGACTGCCCTTTTGGGCATTTTTATTTTTTGTAGCATTTGGCTCTGCTGTCCCGATGGGGACAGGAAGCCTCTTGGGCCCACCTCCATGGTCCCTCCTAGTCAAGGCCATCTGGCCTTTACCCCAGATAGTGTACAGTATTTTCATTAAAAGGTTCTTTCTTAATTTCCTGTCCATGGTCTTGCCTGAAGAAAATGGGGAAACTCCCAGCCACAAGATGGGAGAGAGGAAATGAGCTCAGCAGCCACCACCAGCCCTGTTGACCATGCACACACTGCACGCACTGCCCTTTCAGCCCGCACAGCTCAGGGGCTGGGTATCCCCACCTGCTGAGGAGAGTCATAGGACTTGCCTGAGGCCCAAAGCCAGGATAGTGCAGAGTCAAGATTCAAACCAAAGCTTTCTGACTCCATAGCTGGGGCTGACTGAATTCAACAAATATTTATTGAGTGCCTATTAAGTGCTAGATACTGTTCCAGGTACTTGGGACACATCAGAGAACAAAACGAAGGTTCCTGCCCTCATGGAGCTTACAGTCTAACATTTATGACCCTTCACCTGCACACTGTCTGAGAGCCCGGGCAAGTCACGGCACCTCTCTCCGTGGCTATGATGCGGGAAGAAGCAGGCACGGGCCTGGGTATGGGTTACGTGTCCGGTGCGCTGCGGATGCCAGACAGACACCGTGCCCGCCCCGCCCCCCAGACAGGAGATTAGGCTGGAGATTGATTTTTAATAATAAAGTACAAGCAGGGAGGGCAGGGGGAGTGCAGCCGGGTGGTCGGGGGTGCTGCAGCCCCCGGACCTGCGCTGGCTACACAAACTGCTGCTGCTGCTGCTGCTTCTTGGTGGCTGCCTTGCTGGCAAGGTCCTTGGCCTTCTCTGTAGCTGCCAGTGCAGTCTCCTTTGCCTTCTCCTTGGCTTCCTTGGCTGTCTCAACGAGAGTTTTGGAAGGGGCCTCACCTGCAGCAAAGGGCAGGAGGCTGGCTTCAGAGGTTGCCGGGACCCGCCTTACTGCCTCCCACTCCCTTCACCACTGTGAGCCGGGCCCCCTCGGAAAGGTGGTATTTGCCAAGGGTGCAGGCGAGGAGTCCCTGGCTTAGAGTGAAGCAGTGACAGCCTCGGGCGCCACACCTGTCTGGGCAGCTGGGCCGTGCTCACCTTGCAGCTTGGCCAAGATGTATTCAAAGCCCTTCATCGTCTTGGTCACATTGCTTTTGAACCGGGCGAGACCAAATTCCTGGCAAAAGATGAGGAGGGGAAGGATTCTGAGCTGCCCACTGCCCCCCAGTCTAGGCTCCAGGCTCAATGCCCTGGGCCGCAGAGCACCAGCAACCCCATGCCGCTGCTCACCTGGACAGCCCTGGAGACACCAAATAGGCTGGAGGAGACCCAAGCTTCCCGGTGGATTTCAGTCCAGCCGCTGTTGTCAGAGTTCACACAGTAAACACATCGTTCCTCCACCACCTGTGCAGGGAGTCAGGCCAAGCACAATTGTGTGGGAGTCTTTCATTTTGCCAACTTCACATAATTTGACTCACTGCCTCTTTTTATGAGGGAGAGCAATAAAAGGAAAATCCATTCCTTATCACATCCCAAGCTGCCTTTATGGAAAAGCAAGAACATAAAGGTCATTTTGATCTCATTATATAATCTCTCTTATGACCCTTTAAACTAGACAGCTAATGGCCTCTTGAGATCAGCAGAGGGCCTTCCGGCTCTAACTTGGCCCTAGATTTGGCTCTGTCCCTGTATGTCTAGATGTGCACACTGTTTCTAGCCTGTTTAACACCTGCCGCAGCTCTCGGGGTCACTGGGAATCCAAATAAAAATGGAAATCTGGGTACTGGCACAGCTCATTCCCATCAGAGAAAAAAAGTGGACGAGCACTTTCAAGAGAAACCCTTCAAAGACCTCTCACAGCTGGACTGAGGGACGTTTCTCACAGCAGGATCGCTACCGTGGCTATTTAGAAAGCAGGTAGCACCCTCTGGGCAGTCTGTTTCGAGGCCTTCAGATAACTGGAGCAGTGTATGCAGTTTCCAGCTCATTCTGTGAGCTTGTAGGAATGTGAACCTCACTTTCCTCTTTGCACAAGAGAGTGCAAACCTCCGAGGGTTATTGTGAAGACTGAGTGAGAAACAGAATGAAAGTTCTCTGAAAGCTTCAGGGTATTCATACATGAGGGAATACTGTAGAATGTTCCTGAAACCATGGGTTTTCAATTAAAAAAATAAATTTGTATTTACCAATCTTAGAGAGGAAGGGAGAAAGCCTTAAGACTACAGCCTCAAGTAAACCACCGCCCAGGCCCAGCCTCCTTCCAGCACTTTGCAGGCAAAGGAACATACTTTTTTTTAATGCATTCCACTGATTTATGTATTCATTGGTTCTTTTTTTTAAAAACCCTCACTAGAGGACATTTTTTCACTGCTTTCAAAGAAAGAGGAAGGGAGAGAGAAACATCAATTGGTTGCCTCCTGTACGTGCGCAGACCAGGGATCGTACATATTCGGACCGGGGATCAAACCTGCAACCTTTTGGTTATGGGATGGTGCCTCAACCAAGCCAAACTGGCCAGGGCTCACTGGTTGATTCTTATATGTGCTCTGACTGGAAATTGAACCCTCAACCTTAGTGTATTGGGATGATGCTCATTATAACCATCTGAGGTACCTTGCCAGGCCTAGGTTTTCAGGATTTAAAGACAAGAGACTAAAGATATATGGAACCCCTTTTCCCCAAAATCTTAGGCCGAACTCCGTTGTGTGTAGGACACATAAGAGTGTAACTCCTCTACTCCATGTGAAGTCTGGGGCCCAGATCTTCTCCCTTCTGGGGCACACCGATGGAACCCTTGTGGCTTGATGGGCTCCTGTTTGAAAATCACTCTCAGCATCACTGGCTCCCAAGCCATATGTATCAGGAGCTCTACTTCTGGGGTGACCAAGAGACTCTTACCATCAGCCGGGCGTGGTTGATGTTCCAGGTGAAGGTGGTCATGGTCTGGTTCCGTGGGTCCACAATAGAATCCTCCAGGATGTACACCGAGTGAGCAACATTGGCAGGAAATAGTCGCTCAGCCCAGCGGGGCATCCTGTTGGTCTTGGTCAGGAGTCTCCGGGACAGGAGCTTCTGGTCAGGGGTCACCTCCCGGTGCACTATGTCTTCCGTCAAGACATGTTTGCTGCAGGTGTCGGAGTGAAAGTGACCCTCGGGAGCCTGACCCTGAGACTGCGTGTTGGGCTTCCCGGCTGGAGCCTCCCAGCCCAGAACGGCCAGGCCTTCCCCTATACTTGCAGAGATCTGTGCTGTAGCTCAGACCTGAAGATAAGAGTCCCTTGAACCTATCCCCGGGCAAATTTCAACTCCTGCCCCCTCGCTGACCTGGATTCCTGGGCCTTCCAGCATGGCGGGCCTTGTTGATTTACTGCACCGCTGGAGAGGGCCACCGGCAGAGGAGTAAGAGAACGTCTGGAATTCCAACGCCAGTATCCCTCCCAGTTCCTGTGCCGCCGCCTCTTCCTGTCTGGCCGGCCACCGGGATCTGAGAGCGCCTTAGGCTACGGCCTCAAGTAAACCACTGCCCAGGCCCGGCCTCCTTCCAGCACTTCGCAGGCCTAGCCACTTCCCCCGATAGGGTTCTCTAACCCTAAAGAAGGCCACAGTTCCGGCGATCCCCTCCTCGGACTCGATGTGGAGTCCTTTCCGACCCCACATTTCGATCTCCAAACAGCGAGGGGGAAGGTTGCTCTATCCCGGGCTACGTACCTATAGGGATTCGGGTACCGCTGCCAGAAGGCAGCAAACACTTGGTCCCAGGAACTCCGGAGCACGCTCTGGCCCAGGAAATACTTCACCATCGTCCCGGCCGGGGCGGGATCAACACCCGCGCAGCATCAGCGGTGCAGAGCCCGGGGGCACGCGGAGGCCAGGCCGGGGCTCGGCGCACGCCCGCCAGGCACGCAGCTCAGTCACCACCGCGCTGCGCCTAACCAGCTGCCACCGCCATGAGGAGTTGTCCAGCCGCCCGCCACTTCCGGCGCAGACTCGCATTATCCACCACTTCCGGCGCCTGTGCACGTGACCCACAGTCCCGCCCCCTCCCCGTCTACCCCCCTCCCCCTGCGGGAGTCGCGGAGCTGCTGGCCTGAGCTGGGTTAGAGGGGACCCCCAAGCTCGGTGGGGAATACGAGCTGGGGCGGCGCCTGAGCCGGGCGGCGAGCTAGGTGGGCGGCGGCGTGCGGCGCCGTTGAGGGCGCTGCCCCGCGCGCTCCCAGGCCGCCCCGGGCCCTGGGCTCTCGATAGGAGGATCAGCGCCCGGGGCCGACGAGTAGGGCAAGCGGGGCGCTGCCGTGGCTGGAGCCCAACGTGGGGTCTCGAGACGTAGGGACTGAGGCTTGGGGCGCTACCTGCCCGAGCGGAGATCCGGGTTTACCAAGCGCGGGGACGCAGGGCCCTGACGCGGGTGAGGCGGTCGCGGGAGCATGAGCGGGCAGCGGGTGGACGTCAAGGTGGTGATGCTGGGCAAGGAATACGTGGGCAAGACGAGCCTGGTGGAGCGATACGTGCACGACCGCTTCCTGGTGGGGCCCTACCAGAACGTGAGTGAGCCTCACGGGGCCCGCGCGGGTGGGAGGCCAGCACGCACCCGCCGTCCTTATCTCTTCTCCCTGGTTGCAGACCATCGGGGCCGCCTTCGTGGCCAAGGTGATGTCTGTCGGAGACCGGACGGTGACTTTGGGTATTTGGGTAAGTCTCCTGGGCAGGTAGTTCTGGGAAAACCCATTCCTCAGGCTTGATCCTCTCTATTCCTGTCTGATCTGTGGCCTTATTGAGGCCGTTTCTCTCCTCTAGACCCCAGCTTAAAAGTGGGGGTCTGGAGGACGTATTTATTTGCAGTCTTGGGGAGTAGCTCAATAACTCAGGCCACGGCTGAGCTTCCCCCTGCCCTTCAGGACACAGCAGGCTCTGAGCGCTACGAGGCTATGAGCCGAATCTACTATCGGGGAGCCAAGGCTGCCATCGTCTGCTACGGTGAGGGGCGTTTTGGCCTGTTTCTCAAGCGAGGAGGGGTGGATGCCAGGCTGGCCTTAGAGAATAGCCCCTAACCCTTGTTTGTGTTTCCTGCGTGCCCCATACCAAGACCTCACGGATAGCAGCAGCTTTGAGCGGGCAAAGTTCTGGGTGAAGGAACTGCGCAACATGGAGGAGGTAGGTGGTCAGACATCACCAGAGGACGAGGGGCTGGGGCTCTGGAGGTCTGTGTGGGTGACCCTGACCTTGTCTTCTGCCTCAGGGCTGCCAGATCTACCTGTGTGGCACCAAGAGTGACCTGCTGGAGGAGGACAGGCGGCGTCGACGTGTGGATTTCCACGATGTCCAGGACTATGCAGACAGTAGCTTCTCCTCAGCTCCCTGGGGATGGGGGAGGGAAGCGATTGCTCGGGTGGGTACTGGAAGATAGGGGCTGCCTTGGCTGCCCTGGGAAAGCTTTCCGGTCTCTCTGAACCTGTAGGGTCCAATAGAATGAACTGCTAGCCTCCCCCTTTACCTGTGTCCACCTGGTTCTTAGACATGAGGCTTTAGTCACTTTTCTTTACAGATATCAAAGCTCAGCTCTTTGAAACATCCAGCAAGACAGGCCAGAGTGTGGGTGAGTGCTGTCCTGGGCCGCACAGCAGGAACAAGCAGGGGCACCAGAGGAGGCAGAGCAGAGCCTAGAGGGCTGTGTCACCGGGTGACCCCAGGGCTACTGGCATTGGGCCCTCACCGGTTGTCCTTTTTCCTGCCAGACGAGCTCTTCCAGAAAGTGGCAGAGGATTACGTCAGCGTGGCCTCCTTCCAGGTGATGACAGGTGCGCACTGCCCTAGCCTCTCCGGAGGCTCCCTCTGGGCTCTCAGCATCTAGCCCCCTTCACGGGTGCAAGCGGGTGCCCCAACACAAGGGTGCTGAGCTGCCACTTCTCTCTGACAGAGGACAAGAGTGTGGATCTGAGCCAGAAGGCAAACCCCTACTTCTACAGCTGTTGTCACCACTGAATCACCACTCACTTGGCCTGGGGGGATCAGAGGAATTCCCCAAGGGGCTGGACTTAGCTCTGGTCTGGGCTCAGGTGGGCAAATGTGAGCGACCCCAAGTCCCATGGCAGCAGGGGTAGTGCCTGTCTGTGCTGGCCCACGGGGCGGATACAGCATTGGGCTGACTGACGGGCATCAGGAGGGTGAGGGCGGATTTGGATGCCAGGTCTCTGTCCTGGACAGCACGTGTGTCTGCAGACTGAGTAGCTTCTGATTTGTAAATAAAATCAATGCACTGTGAACCACACTCAGCCCCTTTCCCTGTTGTGTAGTTGGGTGTCAAGGCACCAAGTTCTTTCTGAGGCCACCTGGCTGGCCTCACTTCTATATGAAGGCTCCTCCCAGCCCTAATTTTACTTTACCCCAGGGTTACAGCTGAGATAATGGAAAAACAAAGAGAGCCCTGTCCTGTACTTTCCTAGGGTGAGAGGCCTGGGTTGGGACAGGGCAAAGCTCACGATTCCTTCCTGGTGCTGAGAAGAGCAAGGCAGGCACTTAAGTAGTGTCCAGAGAACAAAGATCAAGCACTCCCACCTCAGGTTGGCTGGTCCTACCACATCCGTCACACGCAGGCCCCTGAGTCACACCTGTGGCTCAGATCCTAAGCTTCCCATCAACATCCTGCAATGTGGTGTAATGAGAGAACTATCATGTTTATGGGGACTCCTTAGCACCTGCCTCTGAAGAACTGAAAACTTGGCCAAGATGCTCAAACTCACTCAGGAAGTCTTTTGCAACACAGAAAGGTCTTTTGGACTCAGATGAGAAAAAGGGACCAAAACTTGGCCTCAATTTCTTATCTCTAAAATGAGATAACCATTGCCCAGTTCAGGACTGGGAAGACCAGAAGTAAAACTAACTCTAGGACTAAATGTGTATCTTCCCTGGAGGACATTTTGCTGAAGGAGTACGAAGTTTAGGATTAGGTCCAAATATTTCTAAAGGATCAGGTGTTAACTGTAAACAGGGCTGACACCTGTTCAACCAAAAAGGAAGTTTATGGAAGCAGCCCTTCCCAGGAGGGAGGCTTGAGCCCCTTTGTCTCGGCTTTCCCACCTTAGGCTGGGTCCTCTGCAGGGCTTAGCACCTGCCTCTGAAGAACTGAAAACTTGGCCAAGATGCTCAAACTCACTCAGGAAGTCCTTTGGTTTCACTTCCTTTTTAAAAACCAATTCCTCAAAATATCCTTACTTCACGGGTGATGAAGCTTCCTGTGTAAGGACTGAAACTAACACCAGCCACTCCCAAAAGAAACCCATCCTGGCACCCAGTGACTCCTGGGAAGGAAATCCACACCATTCCCACACAGTGCTTGGAGGAAGGGCTCAGCTCCACTGCGTCCCGGCCTGGGAACTAGCTTGGGCCAGCTCCTGCTCTCACCCCAAACCCGTCCTCCCTCCTGTTGGGCTACATCTCCCCACGGACAACAAAACACAACACAGGGTAAGGGCCGTAAGAGTAAAGTTAAACTTTACTTTACAGTAATTTTTTTCTATATACAAAGAATTACAGTACATGTTTATGGGGACTCCTAGCACAGGGCTCCCCTCTTTTCCACTAAGAGTTTCACTTACAGCTGACAATCTATGGGGGTGAGGAGCAAAAAAAAAGTGATGGACCTCAGCTGTTCCCCCCACACCCCTTTCTTAAAAATATAAAGATAGATCTGTATTGTCAGCTTCTTTCTTTGCCAAGACTTAGAAATCTGCTCTTCCACGAGCTCCTGTGTGCTGCACGCACCCATTTTCTACACACACTCACCTACATGCACACACAGGCAGCACCCACCTCAGACCTGGAGACCACCTGTTCTCTGCCCCTACCCTGGAAGTCTAAAGCACCAGAACTATCTATTTCTGCTCTTACTCCCTGGGCTCTCACCTCGGGTCCACAAAGCTTTGCTTGACTTCCAGAGTGGTGTTATACCTTTAAAGCCCCTCCACAGCCTGATGTTGGTAAAGTCATGGGAAAGCAGCTCTAGAGAAAGAACCACTTAAGAATTTAATGTGTGCTGTTTTTTGCTTATGTTGGTAGAAAACATTTCTTCCCAGGCTGTGGACTTCTAGATAAAATAAACTTCCCATTTCCTTAAGAAACATAACCCTTAATCTTCATAAGCAACAGAGGTGTTCCCACGAGAGTGGAAGAGGTAGAGGGGGCAGAAGGTAACCAAGGGAGACCCCGCACCTGGAGCTCTCTACCAACCTGTTCCAGGCAGTGTGGACAGAGGCTATGGACAAGGTGACGCCAGTCCTAAGAAACAATGGCCTCGCTCATCTGGACATAGCGCCTCTGCCATCTCTGCATTGCTCTGGACCACTCCAGGGTTGGGTACAGCCTTCAACGAGGCTCTGCCCCTCTTCTCTCAAATGGAGCTTCAAAGAAACTTCTACATAAAATCTCTTCCTCCGAAACAGGAAGCTGGGTTTTTCAAGTCGCCAGTCCCTCAACCCTTGGCAGTGCTTATTTATACCAGGAAATTAGCACCATCGTTACATTTTTTTTTGAGTGTACAAAGCAATTATCTAGTCTTATTTCAATTTATACTACAGCAACTTCTGGCCCTAGAAAGCTCAGCTGAGAGCTAACTGGCCACAGCCAATGAAAGTCTCATGCAGCAGCTACCTAGCTCTAAACGATCTGGAATGTCTAACACATGGGACAGCCCAAACGTTATTCAGTAGGAAAGGGGCTTGGAGCAGCTCCTTTCCTGCCTCGAGCTCAGAGAGGTTACATCACTGGGCCATTCTGACCTCCTGGTTGACAAATCACAAGAAGACGGCAATGTCCCCAGAAAAAGACTTAGGAGAAAACCCACTTTATAGGAGCCGAGGCCAAGACCCGCCCACGTTTAGGGCTCTCCTAACTCCTTTCCACAGGGGAAGCTGCCAGGACCAGACTTCTTCCTTCCACTGTGTTTTCACAAGGCGACCTGGGAGTCCAGCTCCAGCGAGTAGACACTGCCAAACCTGCGAAAGAATTGCTGTGCACTTCTTGCCCTGACCGCGGGGTGGGGTAGAGGGTATGACAAATACAATTACTTTCATCAATACCAAAGATGTAGATTTGGTTGTTGTTCAGAAGAGGATCGACACAGTGATTAAATCACTTTAAACTCAGTAACTCCAGGGGGAAGCAGACATTTAAAAACTTGTAGGTTTTTGTAGCAGTGACAGCTATTTTGCTTTTAGAATGGGTTAGCTTCAGTATGAGAAGCAAAGGAGGCTTTGAATTTAAGTTTCCATGATTTTTTCCCCCTGACCTAACACGGCCTGGAGAGGTATTTGTTCTCTAGCTACCTATGGAAAGAAGCTATGGCATCCCCCTGGGAAAGGCTTCCTGGGGAACTGGCTTAGAAGCAAGCTCTCTTGAGATCCTGATTTCCAAGCACTTGCCCAAATACCCAAAATACCATCCTGCATAAAGATCAGGAACTTCTAAGAAAAGATTTCCTTTTAACTGCGCCAGTTCACACTCCCTGGAGAAAAGGCCTCAGTGCAGGTTCCAGGGGTCCCAGAGGGCTGGCCAGGTCACTCCCTCCCCACTATCAGGCGAGAGTCTCACTTCTCCACAGTCCCGATTCTACTTCTAATTGTATAGTGACTGCTTTCATGATGTTAAGATGTTAAGGATCTAGAATCAGATGCTGCAATCAGGGGGCCTGACAGCTGAATTTGTAGTTTCCATTCAACCTGAGTCTTTCAATGACCCTCAGGAAAGCCTGGCACTCCATACATTTAGATAAAGAACTGCCTCCTACCCCCTAAACCAAGCATAGCTCCTAAGTTGTTTTCCTAGGCAGGTCTGGAAGGAAGTTACCGGTGAATGGTGGAAAATGGAAAGGACCAAAACAAAACCACAAAGTGGCCAACATGGCTCACCTTTCCCTCATTCCTTCGCATCCTGTGAGACTTATCTAGAGTGGCTGTCAAGTCAATTACCTACCAAAGCCTGCTTCAGAGAAGCTACTTCAGGATCAGACTTCACTTACAAATTTTTACATAGCCTGCACAACCCCCCACCACACACACAAAAAAATTCACAGTTTATTTCATGAAACAAAGAACTACGGTAATTTAACACACAACAAAGTGAAAGGAGATTCTAACAGTGCAGTGTGGATACTTTTTCTGATCACAACTACAGATGACAGGAAAGAAAAGGGCACAGGACTGGCACCAAGCAAACCCTACTCATACAACCTAAGAGATTAGGGAAAAAGACCTACTAGCTGCAGTTATATACTTATTATTCTCACACATGATAAATACTTAATATAATGAACTTTAATGTTCTGGGTGGATTTCTTTAAAAATATCTTTTCCATGGTTTAAAATTTTTTAAAAAGAAAATAAGATGCTTTGTTTTCTCTTCCTTTTGAACAAAGAGCTTTTCCTCTCTGATGATGGGGGAAGAGATATAGGATGAAAAGGGAGAACTAGGCAGGTGGAATTTACAGAGGAGGTTCCGAGGTCTAAGTGAGATGCAAGGATAGGCCCCTAAACGCGGGGCAGCCCTGCCCAGCCTTGTGCCTCTGCCTGAGTTCAAGTGTCTCAACCCCAGAGACCAACTTTGGGAAATAAAAGCAAATTCTCTCTTTTCTTTATATAAAGCGCAAATGCTTCTATAACAACTATTGTTCCCTCCCTAAGAGTGATCGGAGCAACCTCAATAGGAACTTAGGAGGAAACTGGGACAAAATACAGAATCCTGTTGAGGGTTTAAAAGCCATACTGAGACAGAATGGGCAGGAGACATTTGGGCCAGATGACCTGGTTGGCTAAAGCTGCTGGCTAAGTTGGCAAAGCAGAGAGGTAAACACATTTGGTCTAGGGACGAAGGAGGCATGAGTGATTGGGAAGGAACCGGCCAAACAGTACTTCCTGTTGGCAGTCGGTGAGCTGGGTGAATGGTAGGGCAGGGTAGCACCAACAGATTTCCCAGCCCTTGAGCCCCAGCTCAGGGCAGCAGTAACAGATAATCAGCAGTTATGAGGAGTCGACTCTTAGACTGGATGTTTCTCTAAATGCCACATCTTGCCAGTCCTAAAGGAAGGGTTATGGCTGCCTTTGAACTGAGTCAGAAAGCAGGTGCGGCTCAACATAGAGCACAACAATTCTCAGGAAGAAGGTGGTAGAGTCCACTAGTGAAAAAGAAGACTCCTTCCATTCAGGTAGGAGAGCAAAGAATCAGAAGGAATTTTCCATCAAGGTCTGGCAACCTCCCTGAGCTGGTGGTAGA